AGTCTCACGGTCTTTCCTGCCCGGGCTGGCTTTGAACCGTGATCCTCAGATCTCAGCCTCCTGAGTAGCTAGGATTACAGGCGTGAGCCACCAGCGCCTGGCTAATTTCTTTTTTTTTTAATATTATTATTTTATTTGTGAACATACTGTACAGAGGGGTTATAATTACATGGGCAGGATAATGCATACATATCTTACCAAGCATTGCAGCCTCCTCCTTTGTTTAACCTTCACCTCCCTTCCCAGCCTCCCCCCTCCCCCCTACCCAATTCTTTCCTCCCTTCCCCCCCACCGACATTGTAAAGCTCATTTTTGACGTGACAATTTGTACTTCTCATTGTTGCAACAGGCCCACCTGAATCCTTAATAGACTTGTTTTTCCCCATCTCCTCCACAAGTTATACTGACATCAAATATAGTGAAAGCGGGGATTATACTGTGGGGGAGGGACATACAAAACAACAAAGAAGTAATCTTATAAATGCGTTAGAAACACATGCATGAAAGAAAAAAAAACATTCAAATACATATCTAAGGGTTCATTTTCCTAACATCACATTATCTGACCTTTTCCCCGTGACTCATATATATACTAGATATTGCAAATAAGGGAAACCATGGGTGTAATTTCTTATGTAAAAGTTCCTTAAAGTTGTTTGTTCAATACTATAAAAACTGCCTGATTCTATGCTCAGGGTCTCTTAGCATCACCGGTTACGGTGTGCGGAGAGGACCAAGCTCGAGTTTGCAATAAACCGACTCTTTGTTGATTACATTGATCGTGGTCTTTGGTGGTCTTCTGGGGGTCCCCGAATTTTGGTATAACAATAGACAAAATTGAAAATTGAGCTAAATACACTAAAAGAAGACTGGGTAAAGAACTAATCATAATAGTTGAAATATAGCTAATTGAGTCATTAAATCAAAGTGTGTATTTCAGAGATTCATGATAGAGCACATAATTACTCAAAACATAAATAAAATTCTAAAGTTTTGGGTAAGAAGAAATAAGGTAGGGGTATAGCAATTGTGTTTTCAGAGAAATAATTTTTAGATGAATTTTATTGAGACAATAAAGCAAATAAAATCTTATCTTACACCACTTCATGACTATCCAAAATTCTGGCATGGGTACTGAGAAGTCAATGATAATGGGCATACCATATAGTTGCATCTTTGTGGGGAGTCTCTGAAGGTAGACAGGGTCATTACCACCCTGTTCATTTAGCAAGCACGATCATGTAATGGCTACATTATGTACCCTCAATGATGCTAAGTGGGAAGCATTGCTACTTAACTCTTCAGAAAAGAAACTCAAAACATCTATTTAGCCAGACACTGGTGTGTTAGGTCTGCCCAGGAGGCCAGAGACTAGAGACCCTTCAGTTGGTTCTCTCCTCTTGAATTCTATAAGTCTTTGCCCAGCATCTGTAACCCAAGCAACTGGCATGCCTGGGTGTAGTGTGAGGTCCTCCAGATGCTGAGATCATCTCTGCTTACACCATGGACACATTCCTTCCCCCACATTCTCCTACATAATTTTTCTCCTCCCTCCATTATCTCTATTGCTCTGCCCAACTCCATTTTGTGAGGCTCAAGATTGCTTTCTCCCTCTCTCAATAAACAACACTCTTCCCTTCAACCTCTTGAGAGTTTCCTTTTGGCAATCCTTGTATGGAGTTGCTCATGAAGAGAGCCGTAGGTACGCAGGGGGCTGAAATCTGGGCATTGTGGTTGGGAACAAGCCCAGGCAAAAAAAGTCGCTGCAAATCTATGACACCTATAGTGTCTCACCAGCTAGAAGCTTGAACTGGAGGTATAGCTCAAAGGGTAGAGCACCAGCCATGATCTGGGCAAGAGTTTAAAGCCCAGAGTTCAAACCCCAATTACGCCATAAAACAAAAAAGGAAATTTACATTCATGATTTCTGATTAGAAAACAAAAGAATCTATTTCTTAAACAGAAGGGACTCTAACAGAAACACTCTAAAATAGTGATATAAAGCAGCTTCCTTGTGCTGGGAAGGTGGCTCAGTGGTAGAGCACTTGCCTTGCATGCCTGAGGCCCTGGATTCATATTCTTCAGCTCCACATAAGCAAAAAGAAAAAAAGCCAGAAGAGGCACTGTGGCTCAAGTGGTAGAGCACAAGCCTTGAGCTAAAGAGCTGAGGGACAGCGCCCAGGCCCAGAGTTCAGGCCCCACGACGGGACCCAAAAATAAATAAATAAATAAATAAAGCAGCTCTCACCCTTGGTTTTCCTCAACTCCTCCACGAGGCAGCATGCTTCCTCTTGAACACGCTCTTCAATGCTCCTCTTCCCCATCCCAAAATTCCGCAAAGTCATGAGTGAGAAGCGCCTCATCTCTCTCCATCTGTGTCCATTGCTGAAAACAATTCCTAAATGAAAGGAAGCAGAAACATGGATGGAGAAGTCAAGCAAGGAAAAAGAAGCCGACAGATGGCAGGTACAGGGATGGCCAAGCTTTGGCTCTTTTCCCATCCTCCTTATCCACACATCCTCTGCCCACACACAAATATACACACACATGGATATGTACATTTACCAAGGCCTCTATTAGCTTTTTCAGTCAATGGGAGCCTGCCTCTTCCAGAGAACTCCTCCCCATGGTCAATCAGAGCTTCCTTCACTGCTTCATATCCATGCAACACCACAGTGGGCTTCATGCCCAAATACAGAGTGAACACAGGGCCATAGACTTTTGAGAACTGGAAAATAAAAAGAAAAAAAATACTAGTGAAAGAAGTCATTATTTGTTCTTCAGAGTGAGCCAGAGCAAAACTGACATCATCTTTGTGTTTTTATGCTTCTTTATTTTGGCAAACACAACTTAAAATATTTGCAAAGATCATATGTTACAGAGGAGGCTTGTTACAGCTGTCATTTAGAGATGGCCTGCACTGTGCCATGCACTGGAGCAGGGAGTCGATACTCCATTATAACTCATCTTCACATCAAAACACATGCAAGCTTGTCATGATTCACCAAGAACAAAGCAGAGGGCTGTGGGATCTAAATTCATTTCTAGAGGCCCACTGATAATGAATAGACAATTTGTAGTTGAACTCTGCTTATTCAACAGTCCATGCTTGAGATATGTTTAATTCCCATTTGTATACCAAACCAGTGGCAGATTATTGCTTTCAGATAACTTCTGAAGCACTTGTTCGTGAGAATCTTACTTCCTTTGACAAACAAGAAAAACCGGCAGTTTTTAGTCAGCACAGGTCCTTGTACAGGCAAGTATAGTTGGGATCTATTGGTATTAGAAACACAGGGTGTGCCCCACAGAGGCTGCCCCAGTACATGAATCATCTTCAAAAACAATTTCTCAACTAGCAACATTCTTTGCCCTAGACAAAAGTTTTATGCAAAAATCCAGGAGGACTCTGATACCATCAGTGTTCCCCTAAATGGTCTCATGTCTTTATGTTCTCTCATCCTGACAGATATTACCTATCAATCACTCACAGCTTCTCAGAGAAGTTAACTTTCATAATGATTCTAAAAAAAAATCAGTGTCTAATATGCTATATGACTTTTTGAATTGACCATTTAATCACAGAACTTTCCTTTCAAAGAATCTGCAGGAAAAAAAATCATAAACTTGACTGTCTAACCATACATAACATTTGCAATTTTGTGGCTGAGACTAAAATAGAGAGTAACCCACTCACATAATACATTACTTCATTCCATGACTAAAATACAAACTTGAAAAGTCACAAGCATGTAACACTTTATACAAGGATTTTGTTTTATGATAACAAATCATGCTATTCTACCTTCAGCAGTACATTGAAAATAAAAAAATATTCATTTATATCTGTCAGAGACCATTAGACAAACATTAAAAATACTTACCTTGGTTAAAGATTTAGTGATGTCTTTAATGTCAATCTGCAGAATATTTCCAATAATTGGGAAAGGAGTGGGACCTGGAGGGAGCTTCCTTCTCCCAGAGTTCTGTCTCCATATTGAAAAGAGAAGAAGACAAGAGAGACCCAGCACCAAGACAACTACTGGACCCATTGAGGCCTTCTCGTCTTCTGGGAGTACTGTGAGCTTGCAGGGCAGACCTTTTATAATGCTCCCTGAGACTGTAGGTGTGCCTCTTTAATGCTTTAGTCATGAATTAGGTAGAAGTTTACTTTAATCTCCCTTCTGATTAGACTTTGTCCTAATGATAGAAAGAAAAGTAGAATGACCTGTACACATGGCTCCCTTTCCAGAGGGCTCAGAGCCAATTTTGATTTAGTTGCACTTGTTAGCAATCGAATATTGCTATTTAACGTACAAACCTACCTGCTTTCAATGTTCAGCTATGGTTGAGAAGTATTAAAGTCAACAACTTGAACATTATTCAGACATGGTATTCATTTTTAAACATTTTTGTTGCTATTCTAAGGTAGATGTACAGAGGGGTTACAATTACATAAGTCAAAGAAAGAGTAAATTTCTTGATTGTCAGATTAGTGACAGGTTGGGAAGTTTTGGAATTTAGGGTATTCTGTATTTTCCAGGAAATGTGTATTTAAACTTGGTTTTTGCTCTATACAACACTTCCAGATGTGTTGTCACTACTGAGACTCTTCAACAAGTTGGTAGACTTGTCCATTGTTATTTCTAACCAAATGTAAAATTCTTAGCATCAGTCATGCATTTTGAAAAGTACTGACCAAAAGTTGCAGGTCCTTGACCATTATAGGACAGAAAAATGGAAAGCTAAGCTCATTTTTCTTTTTCTAATGAGGTAAGGGAGGAGCAGGAGTACAGGAGAACTGTGGATGCTGCGTGGCTCATAGACTTCATACCCTCCACATTCCTCTCTCCACATGACCGCGCCTCCCCTTAGATTGTACCCTGGCTCAGACCAGCCAGCTTTCAGCTTCCTAGTATTCAGTTTGTTGAACTGCTTGTTAAAAGTTCAAGGAGTTATACCGTGCAAACCAGGCTTTTTCAGTTTGACTGTGTATATACTCCTATGCATGCTTTAATATGTGTTCATATTTTTTTTAATTTTATTTTATTTTATTTGTGAACAAACTGTACAGAGGGGTTACAATTGCATGGGCAGGATAATGCGTACATTTCTTACCAAGCATTGCAGCCTCCTCCTTTGTTTACCCTACCCATCCCTTCCCAGCCTCCCCCCTCCCCCCCATCCCAATCCTTCTCCTCCCCTCTTCCCCCCACCCCCTTCCCCTCCCCCGCCCCCGCACCGACGTTGTAAAGCTCGTTTTGGACATGACAACTTGTACTTCTCATTGTTGCATCAGATCCACCTGTATCCTTAAACAACTGGTTTTTCCCCATCTCCTCCACAAGTTATACTGACATCAAATATAGTGAAAGCAGGGGTTATACTGTGGGGGAGGGACATACAAAGCAACAAAAAAATAATCTATAAATGCTTTAGAAACAAATGCATGAAAGAAAAAACATTTAAATACATATCTTAGGGTTCATTTTCCTAACATCACCTTATCTGACCTTTTCTGCTTGACTCATATATATACTAGATATTGCAAATAAGGGAAACCATGGGAACTATGTTGGGAACTATGTTTCTTTGGGCCTGGCTTACTTCACTTAATATAATTTTTCCAAGTTTTTCCATTTCCTAACAAATGGGGCAATGTTATTCTTTCTGATGGAGGCATAGAATTCCATTGTGTATATATACCACATTTTCTTAATCTATTCATCTACTGAGGGGCATCTGGGTTGGTTCCATATCTTCGCTATGGTAAATAATGCTGCAATAAACATAGTCGTGCTGGTAGCTTTAGTGTGGTCTTGTTTGTAAACATTTGGGTAAATGCCCAAAAGTGGGATTGTTAGGAATACAGTGTATATAGAGTGCATCTATAGGAAGAATAGTGAGCTATGTCACCCATCATCATCTTATCTCTTTTATTTTGTGTGTGCCAGCTCTGGGGTCTTGAACTTAGGACTCGGATGCTATCCCTGAGTATTTATGCTCAAAGCTAGTGCCCTACCATTGAAGACAAAGCTCTAGTTCCATTTTTTTGTTAGGAGTGAATTAAAGATAAGAATCTAATGGAATTTCTATTCCTGGTTTTCAGCAGCCATTTTCAGAGCTCAGCCTCTGAAGTTACATATATGTTCTCAGGGCCTCTCACTGTTTAGAAATGCTAGTGATCCATATACTCAACCCTCTTTAAACTTAGCTTTGAGATTAAATCATGTAATAGCTAATAAAAACAACAAGGAGATAATTCCTCATTCCCAGAAGAATTGTTTTTCTTAATAAGAAAATAGATAGCAAGTGCTTGTGGGTATTTTGGATTAACTATAACTTGTACATACTGGTGTGAATAAGAAATAGTGTAAATATTCTTCAATATTATCTGTGAGCTCAGCAATTTTTTAAAAGAAATATTGTAGGATCAAACAATCCCAATGCTTCTAAATTTCCAAAGAAAAGTAAAACATTATGTTGATGACATACAACATAGCATTTTTAACAGCATTATAGCCTAAAATATTTTTTAGCAACAGTAAAAGAGAAACATAATATTTTTATAGATAATTCAATTTACCTTTCTGCCAGTATTCCTTGCATAAAGGAAAGGTTTTATTGGGGTAGAATATCACCTTTGAATGTATGAATATACTACACTATTGATTTTTTGGTGTCTCCCAAGACCTCAGTATTTCCTCTGTAATGATTTGATGATTTTTCAAATCAGTAAAGATAGATTATTGTTTGTGTGTATTATTTATTATATTCAGAACACCATGTATTTCAGGAACACAGATTTATGTTTTGATGAAAACATTTTTTTCTGCTCCTTTTCCCAACAGAGGTAATTCATAATGGGATACAATAATCAGAAGAGAAATGACATCTGTAAAAAAATATGGTGCTTGGTTACAACGTCAATATAAAATACCATATGTTGTCAAATGTTGAAAATATCTAGTAAAATCAGTGCTCATTTCTTTCTTTCTTTCTTTTTCTATTTTTTTTCTTTCTTTCTATCTTTTTTTTTTTTTTGGTCAGTCCTGGTGCTTGAACTCTGGGCTTGGGTGCTATCCCTCAGCTCTTCAGCTCAAGGCGAGCACACTACTGCTTGAGCCATACTGCCACTTCCGGTTTTCTAGTAGTTTATTGGAGATAAGCATCTCAAGGACTTTCCTGACCCAGCTGGCTGTGAACCATGATCCTCAGCTCTCAGCCTCCTGAGTAGCTAGGATTATAGGTGTGAGCCACCAGCTCCTGCTCAGTGCTCTTCTTTCTATAGTATGACATTTGTTTAGTCTCTGAACAATATTTTTCACATAGAACTACCTTCAAAATGTTGAACTTCAAAATGGATAATTACCCTGTATATTTATCTTTTAGCATTTCAATTAGGATCTGTTAATCTTGAACTTTTGCTACTTACTTTGTATTCAGAAGTAGAGACTTGAATTACTGGAAATATTAAAACACTCTTCGCATTCTTGAAAAAACAAGAAATAATGGCTGAAAACTTTCCAATTCAAGGAAAGTCATGAATGATATTTGTGTAGGAAATTCAATGAAAGTAAAGACAAAGACAAAGAGATTCATACCACAGCATATTTTAATCAATCTGCCTAAAATGAAAGAGAAAGAAAACACTGAAAAGCAGCAAGAGAGAAGCAATTCCTCACATACAGTAGTCTCAATATGAACAACTGGCTTACTTTCCTTTAGAAACTGTGAAGTCAGCACATGTTATCATAATATATTTAAAATACAGACAGGAAAGCTTCAAGGAAGAATTTTATACCTAGCAATAACATTTCTATGAAATAATGTGGGAAGGCACCCAGGATCTCTTGTATACTAAGCAAGTATTCTACTACTTGAGCCATAACCCCAGCCCTTTTGTTTGAATTTCATTTTTGAGACAATGTGTTTGGAGCTTTACTGTGCCTGACCTTAAACTTATCATCATCCTGCCTCAACCTCTCAAGTAGCTGGGATTATAAGAATCTATTACCATGCTTGTAATATAGCAGTAATTAAGATATTCTAAGCTAATACAAACAGTAAGGTAATCCCATATGCAGATCTGAGAATGCTAAAAGGTGTCAGCTTTTAGGCCAACCAAACAAACAACACTGGACAATAAATCAGTGCAATATTAAGAAACAAAAATCCTCAGTAAGAGAAACTATGTATGTATGAATATTAACACTAATGTTCTTTTATGTTTAACAATCTTAATTTCTTAATTTAAAAGAATGCATAAGATAATCATAGGAAAGACACTGTATGTACCCAATGCATGAAAGTGGAAATCATAACAAACAAATGCAAAGAGGGAATTGGATGAGATGAAAGTTAAAATGTGTAGTTAGAAGAATCTTTCCAATTGTTCTATGTCTAGGGTGCTAACAGTGAACTCTTTCAAATACACTGAGAAAAAAAATCAAGAGCCTTATACTGCCATTAAGATTTCATTGTATATATCACAAATCTAAGAAAAGTAAGGGAAAGAGTAGGTTGAAGTGGGGTGAGAATGTTGAAGGGGCTATCACTGATGAACTTGCATCCTGTTTATAAACTACTTTGTTAAGTAGAACTTGTTTTGTACAAATACTTAAAGATATACTTTAAAAAAATTAAATGCAGTAGTCAGATGCTAGTCGTTCACAACTGTAAGGTCAACATATGTTGTATATTTTAGCTTATTTGAAAATAGTGTTTATTTTGTCTACTCTGTACAATCAGTTTGTCCTCAGTGACAGGAGTTTTATGTAAAGAAAGGAAATATGATCTAATTATTGAGCAAATTCAGTTCATGTTTTTAAGGATACTTGATGTAGAATCAAATCCATAATAAAATTTGAAGTGGTTTCAGTCCTTTCTGGCCTGAGCATGTGAGTGTCTCTAGTAATTACAGAAAATCCAGTGATCCACAGAATTCTTAAGCAAGGGAAGGACCAAGCTGACTTAAGCACTTTACCTGCTCCATATTTATCATGAAAGTCCTGAGGGCTGTTTATTTCAAGCTTCGTTTTGTGTTCTTTCA